CCTTTGATATGTATACCCTTTTTGTTAACTACAAATAGAGCATCCATATTATTCTCAAACAACAGTAAAACAAATACAAAAATTGGCTATTATAAAGCCACAAAGAAATCTCAAAAGATTCCAAAAAGTGAAAATCATACAGGCCATTCATACTTTTTGACTATAAAGTCAGAAAATAACAACAAAGAGCCAATCCTAAAATATCCACATTCTTGAGTAAAAGAGGAAGTGAAAACTAAAATTCCACATTAGTTTAATATAGGACAATGAGAGAATTACATATCAAAAGAGGGCACTCTGTACGTCTAGAAGGCATGCATTCTTTACCCCAAACCTGTATATAGAATGTAAATATTGCTGAAAAGGGGGTAGAGAGTGGGGGGAATAAAGTTGTACTGATTTAATCATAACAAGTAGACATTCTTACACAAAATTAGAAAGCCTCAGAACTTTAAAAAAAGTTTAATAATTTTCAGTTTTTAGTGGATACTTGGATAAAAACAAGATTTAAAAGCTGCTGTTAAACTTTAACCTTTAAATAATTTAAGCATATTTGAATTGTCCTAAATTGAGGCAATACAATATGCTCTTTTCAGTAAAGGGCAACGAAAGCCTTGTAGTCAACAGGAGTATCAACAAGTTTAAAGACATAGAAGTAATTTAATGAAAATATTTGCTTTATGGCATGTGTTACTCTGTTCTCATCATCTGGTTGAATTGGAACATTAGATATACTTTGTAGATTATTGAAATATTTTGCCTATAAGAATATTTTATATTAAAATATATTAAAAGTTTATATAGTATAAAGGGCTTCTTTTTTTATTTTTATTTTAGCTGAGCCATCCTGCCACCTGTTGGCAGCTCAGCAGCAGCTCAGCTCAGGCCGGAACTCGAACCGCTGTTGCTCAGAGCTCGCACTCTTGAGCAAGCTCTTAACCAACTGAGCCACTGGGCCAGCCCCAGAAGGGATTCTTAACTAGTTGAAATCTATGATTAATAATTTATATGTATTTTGGGGGTTTCTGAATTTCTTGAAGTCATGTGTTTTAAACTATTACTTATTTATAAACAACTGAATTCTTTGGATAGATAGATAGATTGATTGCTTGACTGACTTATCTTTTTTAGGATTTGGAAACATCTCACCACGCACAGAAGGGGGGAAAATATTCTGTATCATCTATGCCTTACTGGGAATTCCTCTCTTTGGGTTTTTGTTGGCTGGAGTTGGAGATCAACTAGGCACCATATTTGGAAAAGGAATTGCAAAAGTGGAAGATACATTTATTGTAAGTATAACAGCCTTTTAACTACATATATTTATTGTTTAATTTTTTAAATATTATAATTTTTCTATTATCTCAGTACAGTTAGACATTCAGTTATTGGGCTTACCCTAACAACTTATAGGTGCCTCTATTACAATATAACTCATTGTATAGTTATTTCTATATTATCTGAATGAATAAATGAGTGCCTGAGCAAACCCCAAAAATATGCAGGAAAAAAAAGAAGTAGACATCTGACAGCCCTAGTTTCAAATTCCAGATCTGTCTCCTAGCTATATTCTCTTAAGCTAGTTATTTGACCCTTAAATCTCCATGTTGTCATGTATATGATGTGAATAATGGAACTGATGATGAAACATCACTCTGAAAGTTAGAGATAATGTAAGTGAAAGGTTATTGACTGACAATATTTTGTTATTTAAAAGTTGCTGTGCTACCCTTGTTCATTGCTGGTGGCAATGTAAACTTATATAGCCCTTTCGTGAAGGACATAGCAATATATAGAAAACACGATAAAGGTCATCAGACAACTTAGTAATGTCGTCGATAGAAATTTATTTATGAGGTGTAATTCAGTAGAACCAAAAGTGATATACATGAAGATATTCATGGCTATATTATATTCAATAGGAAAAAAGATAAAAGGAAAATCCTTCTATTAGAATTCTAAGTGAAAAATAGTAATAATATCATCATGATTACAGACGTCTATCCTATTCTTAAAGAAAATGATGGAAAAAGAAAATGCTTGTGTGAGAGGGTGGGATTATAAATAATTTGTTGCTACTGACACTACTATTGCAAATGCATTTTATTTATTATTTAATAATGTTTTCTAATTTCAAAAAAATTCCAACCAAGTATTTTACATTTAACTCTATTGATGAACTTAGACTGTTGTTTTTTTTTATTTAAATTATAGCTCCAGTTTTTACCACTCATTAACGTTTCATATTTAAGTTCAAAATTCACTGTCAAATATTTTTACTGTTAGAGTGTAGTCAGTATGGTTGTTCCAAAAATAGAAGTTTTATCCTTTATACTTTTCTTCTATGGATATTAGAATTATCTTGTATTTCTAGTAGTTGAGAAGGCAGATTAGTGGCATGAGCTTGATAATGTTGAATGGTTCATTCATTTAGCAAAGTGTTGGGTGCCTACTGGAGGCTGGGCAGTCTTTTTCATGCTACGTCTACATCAGCACATAAAACAAATTCCACACCCTGGTAGTGTCATGGTTCAGCGTTTAGTACTAAACGCTGTTCTGAGAAGTTTACAACGTGAATTCATTTCACTTTCACATATGCCGTAAGTAAGGATGGTGGATTAGAGGGACTTTTATTTTCACTTTCCATTCTGTGGCTTCCTAGATCTTTAGTCTCCAGAAAATTTTCAAGATCTACCATCTAGTGATTCTTCTATGGTGGGATGTGACCTATAATTTTCACAGCAGATAAGACAGATTCAGTTCGAGATGAAAAATATATGGTGATCAATCTCAAATGAAGATGTGGAGTTAAAGTGCTATCTGTAAAAACTTCACTTAATATGTCATACTGTGGAGAGTCCTGATAGGAGAAGGAGATGGAAGAATATCAGAACTCTGCTGGCAACTGTAGCTTAGGGGTGTTGAAGACTTAGCCTTGCCTACATTTCATCTTTGATATATTTAGTTTTACAGTTTAAGGCCATAGGGCAGAGAGAATTTATCTGGTTCCCGTGGGAATCAACTGTGTACCTTGAGTCTGTTAATATTACACTTAAATCAATTGAATAATGATTGGAAAATGCGATAGGAGTAAGAGGAAAATTACTTCATGAAATTAATAATTTTGTCAATTATCAGTAGTAAATATTTAATTCATGGTTCAGTTTTCTCCATTTTTATGTATTCCTAGATTATGTTTAGCCCACCATCAGTTGTATGACTATAGAATAGAAATATTTCAATAGTTTAGGTCAACAAAGAATGCTTGAAATCGTATTCTCAGGGCAAAGATAGTTTATAAAGTTTTTTACCTGTTGTAAAGCTATAATTATACCATTATAAGCATTAATTATTTTGAATTATTTATGTTACACCCAATTTTTATAAGACAAGTGAAAATTAATTGTTAAAGGGAGTAAAATACCATTCTCACTGCTAATTTGCTCACAGTGTGTATAGGTTAGCTTTGTGTATATGTCAGTGATCAATTACTCCCAGCCAAGTTCTCTCTCACTCTCTCTCTGTCTCTTTCTTAGAAGTGGAACGTGAGTCAGACCAAGATTCGTATCATCTCAACAATCATATTCATACTGTTTGGCTGTGTGCTCTTCGTTGCTCTGCCCGCAATCATATTCAAGCACATAGAGGGCTGGAGTGCTCTGGACGCCATTTATTTTGTGGTTATCACTTTGACAACCATTGGGTTTGGTGACTACGTGGCAGGTAAGTTTTTTTCTGGCACCAACATGGCCCTCCTAACTCGTGACCCTTATTTAGACTCTTCACCTGGGTTTACAGCACAGCACAGTGACTGTATTGGTTTCCTAAGGTTGCCATAACCAAATGCCACAATGGGTGGCTTTAAACAAAAGCAATTCATTCTCTCACAGAAGTTCAAGTTCAAGGTGCCAGCAGGAGCATTATCGCCCTGAGGCTCCAGGAGAACGCTGCCTTGCCTCCTTCCAGCTTCTGGGAAAAGCTGTCAGTCCCTGTTTGCAGCCGTGTTACTCCCATCCCTGCTGCCATCATCACATAGCGTTCTCTTTGTGTCCCTGTCAGTGTGTCCAAATTTTCTTCTTTTTATAAGGACACCAATCATAGTGGATTAAAAACCCACTCTACTCCAGTATGAGTTCATCTTAATAATTACATCTGTAAGAACGTTATTTCCAAATAAGGCCACGTTCAGTACTGGGGGTTAGGATTCAACATATATTTTTGGAAGACACAATTTAATCCGTAACAGTGACCACGTCAGAAAAAAAATCATTGCGTGACAGTGGCAGTAAGCAGAAGGGTGCAGTTGAACGTTTTATTTTTTTATTCTATGAAAGAAATTTAAATTTCTGGTTACTGAGAAATTTATTTGCACCCTAATTTCAGAAACAAATACCTACTTCTTATTTATTAATTTTTTAGCAGTGCAAGAATTCGAGATCTTTGTTCTTTTTTTCTTAGACATTTTTGTGTCTTAGTTTTAAAGATCTGCAAACTTCAGTAGATGTTCTTAGCTTCTTAAAACCTTCTTTTCTCTAAAATATTTACCTTCTTTAATTTACATCTGTAAATCAATTCTCAGGATAATATTTTTGACCTCAGCTAAAGAGTCCATATATATATTTTTTTTAGCTGAGCCATCCTGCCAGCTGTTGGCAGCTCAGCGGCAGTTCAGCCTGGGCCGGGAATTGAACCGGTGACCCTATTGCTCAGAGCTCACACTCTTGAGCGAGCTCTTAACCAACTGAGCCACTCGGCCGGCCCTAATGATTATTTTTTTACTTTTTACTTTTTATATATGTTCATTTAATTGCTGTTTGCTTTATTATTTTTGCTCTTAGGTCTTACATTCCTGTCATTTCAACTCTCTCTTTCACAGCTATGTTATTCAATTAGCATTGTTCTAACTCCAATTTTAAATAAATTATAATACTAGTGTTAAAAGTAAGGTAATAGTGCTCTGTCATGGATCATTTTGACCAGCTCCTGAACATATAAACCATTTAAAACAATTTAGTTTGAAGTATTAGAAAAACATGCTAAACATTATAGTAGGAATGTACCATTAAATTTTCCAGAAGAAACTCACCAGGCTAATTTAGTTTTAGGAGATTATTCTAATTCCTGGCTATTTACTGTTCTTTCATGACCCAACTTCTTACCTAAATATTTTTAGAAAAGAAAATATGTTCAATAGTTCTATAAAATCTTAGAAAAGGTTGATAGTTCCTATGTTTTTATTGATGGGTTAATTATATTTTAAGCTGGCAAAGCCTTCCTTTCTAGGGAACGTATAATATCCTGAAGACGGGAAAATTTTCATGAGTGGACCTTTGCTTTTGGTTAGAAATACTGTGTACACATCTGTGTGCTGGATGGAGGCCCCAGGAAAGGAGGGCGCATCACTCGGCTAAGAGCTTTCAGTTTTCTAATTAGCAAAAGGTGGAGAAGGCCTTTGTAGCTCCATATAATAGCTTCTGTTCTAAAGCACTTATGTCTCTACCTCTTATCAAAGATGTGTACCGTATTTGCTGGCGTATAAGACGATTTTTTGGCCCTGAAAAATATGCCTCCAAGTGGGGGGTCGTCTTATACGCCAGGT